TTATAACCTTCTTTTAACAAATACTCACTTAGACGGTTATACCACATACGCCCAGATTGTTTTAATCCATAAAGAGATTTGTTTAATTTAATACAGAATTGTTCTCGAGAACTAGACTTTGTTGTTTCTGGCAGCTTAAAACCTTCTGGGAGCTTCATATAAATGTCATTATCCAGTGGACCATATAAATAAGTTGTGACTACATCCATCAAACGTAAGTCAAGTCCTTCTCTTATTGTCAGACTAATCAGAAATCTAAAAGTAGTCGCATCCACCACAGGAGAGTATGTCTCCTCATAATCAATACCAGGCCTTTGTGAGAATCCTTGTGTAACTAATCGTGCCTTATGTCTTACAACTTCACCCTTTTCATTTCTCTTTCGCACAAAGACCCATTTATATCCCACTGGCTTTACACCTCCAGGTGTACGGACTATAGGTCCGAATACTTCTCTTTTTCCGAGAGATTTTAATTCCGCTTCAATTGCTTCTTTCCATTTTGGCCAATCATTTCTTTGTTTACATTCGTCAATGGATTTTGGTTCATGATCCTCATTATTAACCATAACATTTAATGCTACATTGTAAGCAAAAACATCATTGACGTCGATTTGATTACGACTCCATGTAATTCCAGACATGATATAATTTATTGAAATTTCTTCATTTTCAGGTACCTGAATTTCTTCTTGTATCATGTCTAAAGTCTCTTCTGGAGGTCCTTCGGAAAATTTTTCTTCAATTTGACCATCATCAGTCATTGTTCCTTTTCTTTTCCGAGGATTCTTATCTTTGGAACCTGTTGGTCTTCCACGTTTCTGACGTGGCTTAGACTCATTAGCAAATTTATTTTGCCCTTCTGGGACATTTATTTTACATGGATTATTTACAGCTGGAATATGTGATTTAGTCACTCTTTTGGGGTCAGCAAACGAGTCTGGCAATTGATTTGCTAAACTTTGTAAATGAATTATCTTTTGAACTTCTAGTTCACATTGTTTAGTTCGAGGATCAAGATAGGATAATGATAATTCATTCCATTTAATTTTGTTTTCCAACTCTCTTTTTTCTCCCCCTAATTTTGGGAAAAGTGACTCGTTAAAATGACAATCTACAAAACGAGCCGTAAATAAATCCCCTGTTGTAGGCTCAAGGTATTTAATTATTGATGGGGATTCAAATCCAACATATATCCCCAATCTCCTTTGAGGACCCATCTTAGAGCGTTGTGGTGGAGCTATTGGGACATAAACCGCACATCCAAAAATTCTTAGATGGGAAATATTTGGTTCCCGACCATAAACCAATTGTAATGGGGAGAACTTGTGATAACTTGTTGGCCTGATGCGAATTAGTTCTGTTGCATGTAATATGGCATGTCCCCATGCAGAAATTGGGAGATTGGATTTCATAAGCAAAGGTCTAGCAATTAACTGAAGACGTTTAATTAATGACTATGCCAAACCATTTTGTGTATGAACATGTGCTACAAGATGTTCAACTTTTATCCCAATGGATATGCAATAATCATTGAAAGCTTGAGAAGTAAATTCCCCAGCATTATCAAGACGAATAGTCTTAACAGGAGTATCTGGAAAATGTGCCCGTAACTTAATCAATTGGGCAAGTAATCTCGCAAACGCCAGGTTACGAGTTGATAATAATGACACATGTGACCACCAAGTCGATGCATCAATTAAAACCATAAAATATCTAAATGGTCCACATGGGGGTTGTATGGGTCCACAAATATCTCCTTGTATACGTTCCATAAAACGTATTGATTCAAAATTTATCTTTGCTAGTGATGGGCGAATTATCAACTTGCCTTCCGAACAAGCAACACATGGAAATTTATTATGAAGAATCTGCTGGCTCTTCAAAGAATGTCCACTTGAATTCTCAATTATTTTTTGCATCATTATTGAACCGGGATGGCCTAACCGGTCATGCCAAACAACATAGTTATCAGTAAACTTCAGGTTTAATATAGCATGAGATTCAATAATATTGATTTTTGTGTAGTACAAACTAGTGGAGAATGTAGGTAGTTTCTCCAAAACATGTTTTGTGCCTTGAGTTACAGTCGTGATTTGAAGAAATTCACTATTTTCTTCACTTACTGTCTCAATATGATAACCATTATTGCGAATATCCTTAAAACTCAATAAATTTCTTTGAGACAATGGGGAGTATAATGCATCAATTATTTTAATTTTAGTTCCCCAAGACAATTTTATGTTGGCTCTTCCGGAGCCTTCAATGATATTTGTACTACCTGATATGGTACTCACATTAATTCTTTTCATCATCAAATGAGAAAAATATTTTTTATTTTTAAGTATTGTATGAGTAGTTGCACTGTCAGCAAGACATAATTCTTCACCATTCACAGTAAATTGAACTTGAGTAGTATCCATGTTCTCCACGAAATAAAATACATGTAGAAAATTAAGCATAAAATTAATGATAATAAAATAATAAATCAATAAAAACACACAAATAGTTCATAAATTCATAAAGCATATAATGTCCTTATTACAATCATAGAAAATAACATAAGTAAATCACTAGATTGAGTCTATTACTCAAAATTCATACAAATAGATATAATTTTAATTATTCCCTTCTGGAGTAGTGAAGAAATCAGCAACTTCTAGATGAGTTGTATTGCCAAAATCAAAATTATTCCCTTCCGGGGAAGTGAAGAAATCAACAACTCCTAGATGAGTTGTATTGCCAAAATCAAAATCATCATTACCATCTTCAAGAACAAGGTTTGCCTCAACTTTCTTTCCTTTTTTCAATGATTCTTGGTAAAGTTCAACAAGATGCTTTGGAGTTCTACAAACCCGAGACTATTGTCCTTTCACTCCACAACGGTAACATATATCAGTCTCACTTCTCTCTTTATTAACTTTATCATCCCTACGTTCCCACTTCTGGTGAGAATGTGAGTTTTTAAAGTGACCTCCACGACCTCTACCATATCCATGCCCACGACCACGACCGCGCCATTGGCCACGACCGCGACCTCTACCTCGACCACTATTGCTGGAATGGTCTCTGTTTATAGTTTCTTTCCCGTGATGGGTTGTCACATTCGCTTCAGGGAATGGAGTAGAGCCAATAGGACGTAATTCATGATTTTTCATTAATAGCTCGTTATTTTGCTCAGCCACAAGAAGGCAAGATATTAATTCAGAATATTTGGTAAATCCTTTCTCTCTATATTGTGTCTGCAGGACAACATTGTTTGCATGAAAAGTGGAGTATGTCTTTTCAAGCATTTCTAAATCAGTAATATTTTCTCCACATAATTTCAATTGGAAAGTTATCTTGAACATAGCTGAGTTATATTCACTAATAGATTTAAAATCTTGTAATCTCAAATTCAACCAATCATAACGAGCTTTAGGGAGTATCACTGTTTTTTGGTGGTCATATCTTTCCTTTAGATTACTCCAAAGAATTTGTGGGTCTTTCACAGTTAAATATTCATTTTTGAGCCCTTCATGTAGATGATGGCGAAGGAATATCATGGCTTTAGCCTTATCTTGAGATGTTGCCTTATTAGGCTCTTTGATTGTTTCACCAAGCCCTTTAGCATCTAGGTGTATTTCAGCATCTAACACCCATGATAAATAATTCTTTCCGGTAATATCAAGGGCCACAAATTCAAGCTTGGCAAGGTTCGACATTATTATAGATGACTATGATCCTCTATTATATTATTTGACTATGGTTTCTTTTTATTTTCGATAGCTAAAGCAGTGGTGCTGATAACGTGTTATGAAATAAAGGAAAGGGAGAATATTAGAGAGGATGTAGAAAGTAATTGTGTTGTCTTCTTCTCATTTCAATAGACCATGATATATATACATGATAAGCATAAGGTAACCTTCATGGACAATTAAGGTTCCATTTAAGTGGGGGTTACAAAGGAGGTAATGGCAAATGGGGGGGTTACAAGGAGGTTACAATGGGTGGTATTATTCTAAGGGTGTTACAAGCCATAATGACCATCCACAATAAACATATTTTATAACAATTTAGAATTAATAAGAATTTAATTAGATAATATATACTTCGTATTACACAATTTTCTTTGTTGATCACTATGCCTGGCTGTTAATACTCGGTAGATGTTCAATATACATGGAATTTAATTTGAAATTTTTTTGCCTCTTCTTTACCTAGTGAGAACAACACTCATTTTCAAAAGACGCGGAATTTTATAAATTGCCATAGAATTGACCGCGTTAATAGTCAATGCAATGCCTTTTGTACGATGTTACCTGATGTTAGTAATGTCCTTGTGAACACGACCTTCTCTATTGAATGCCTCACCAAAGTCATTTCATTAATTAATTAATCTTTTTTTTTTCATCCATGAATTCTACATGCATGCCTTCAATTTCTGTTTGCTTGCTACTAGTATCTTTTACTCCGTATCTGGTAGCAAATGCCTTGCTGCTGGGAGCATTGATTAGTAAAAATCTCCTAAAAATATATTTTAGCAGTAGTCATGAATTCATCCAATGTTTCAGCGACGTACAAAAGAAAAACCTTGCTCTAGTTCAAACGTGACATTCAAGTTGATCGATGTGGGCTGCTCTCGTCATGGCGAGACTGCTGTCAATGGGAAGGTGCATATTGCAATTCTTACTTCGATAGTACTCCGTTGTCTCCGTACTATCGAACCACTATGAGTGACTAATAATGAGTATCAAGACTAGTAAACGTTTGTTTTAAAAATGCAGTGTATCTGATCAAAGAAAATTCATCGGACTTGTCAAACAATTACGAATAGATGCTTGAACGTATATAAAGGTTTGTTGTTCATTGTAATTCTATATATAAATAGACAAGATAAGTAAAATAGTTGTAATTAGCTAATTAGTCTCCTTTCAAATTAAATTCACCTCCTAAAATCCCTTTGAATTGACTCGATTATCAATTGCTATTCATAAAATATACCTTACCTAGTTACCTGCATAATGCCAGACCTTGTTATTATCTGTTACATCTTCTTTCTACTCTCTTCCTACAACACTACTGCGGAAGATGTGAAGTGTACACAGCAAGAAAGAAAAGTTCTCCTGGAGCTGAAAAACAACATTGTAATTGATCGGTGTGGCTTGCTCGCGTCTTGGGGGAACCAAGAGGATAATAAAGATTGCTGTAGATGGAAAGGTGTCCACTGCAGCAACTACATAAACAGCAGTGTTATCATCAAGATCGATCTTCATGGGTTCGACACATCTAGTCCTCACCCTTGTCTCGAAGGTAAACTTACTCCTACCCTAACCGAGCTTAAGCATTTGAGTTACTTAGACCTAAGCTACAACAATTTCCTAGGGGAACCAATCCCCAACTCAATTGGTTCCCTTGGTAAATTACGGTACCTAGATCTCTCTCATGCTGGCTTTGGTGGAGGTATTCCTCATCAGTTACGACATCTCTCAAAGCTCGAAACATTGTTTATTTCATCAAATTCCTTTGAAGATACCCTTTCTAATGACAATTTTCAAAACTTTTCTAGATTGAAGGATTTAGACTTGTCGAATAACTCCAAATTAACTCTTAACTTTAGTGTCGATTGGATTCCTTCGTTTCAATTAGATACTTTAAAACTCCGGTCTTTAGCTTTAGGACCACACTTCCCTAAATGGATTCTAACCCAAAGGAGCTTTTCATACCTCGATATATCTGAAGCTGGAATTTCAGAGCCAATTCCAACTTCTTTTTGGAACTTATTAACCCTTAACTTATCTTTCTTAAATATGTCTAATAATAATATTACAGGAAAGCTTCCAAATCTATCACATCCTATATTTGATCATTGGCGTCCACTCGAAGTAGATTTGAGTTTCAACTCTTTCGAGGGTACAATACCTTCATTCCTTGGAAATGTTTCATCTTTGAAGCTCAATAACAACAAGTTTTCAAATCCCATTCCTTTGTTGTGCCCTAAATCAAAAATCGTTCTTCTTGACTTGGACTTGTCTAACAACTTGTCGTCAGGAGAACTTCCAGATGATTGTTGGGAGAATATGGATGAATTGTCATTTCTAAACTTGGAAAGCAACCAATTTTCAGGAAAGTTACCACAATCTTTAGGGGCCATTAAACAACTTCAGTCGTTTCGATTGTGTGATAATACTTTTTTCAGGAGTCCTACCCATTTCATTATGGAACTGCTCCTCTTTGGTCATCCTTGACATTGGAGATAACCAATTTTCCGGGATCATACCCCCGGAAATAGGAAATCTTCAGTCTCGTTGATTTAAACTTAAGGAAAAACAGATTGGTCGGAAAAATACCATCAAGCCTTTTTACATTATCAGACCTACAAATTTTGGATCTCTCCGGAAATAGGCTCACAGGAACAATCCCGAAGTCCATCTATAATTTAACAGGAATGAGTAACAGAACAATTTTTTTGCCGAATTCTACCATTATATCTTCACATAAAAGTTTTACTATTATAATGGGTCAAGTGGAAAAGAGTACAACAGAAATTTGGAAATTTATTGGGACTTGTTAAATCATTTGATGTTTCCAACAATAATCTTCAAGGAGAAATTCCTAGTGAAATATCATATCTTGGTGGTTTAGTCTCCTTAGACTTGTCGAGAAACAATTGCAGTGGAACCATCACGCCGAATATTGGCCAACTAACGTCTCTAGAATTCCTCGATTTGTCAAACAATCATTTTTGTGGAGAGATTCCCACGAGCTTTGTAAATTTGAGCTACCTTGGCATTTTGGATTTGTCAAATAACAACTTATCCGGGAGAATTCCACTAGGAACTCAATTGCGAGGCTTTGATGCTTCATACTATATGGGGAACCCTGGACTTTGTGGAGAGCCCCTTCCAAAGATTTGTCCGGGAGATGAAGCATTTAACGAGTCGCATGGAGAAGATATAGAGCTCACTCAACAAGACAAAGATGATGGTGAAGGTGTTTTTTCTCTAGGCTTGTACATAAGCGTGGTGCTTGGTTTTATCTTTGGATTTTGGGGAGTTTGTGGCACCTTAGTGCTCAAAACTTCATGGAGACAGGCCTATTTTCGATTCGTTGATAGCATCAAAGACAGACTCTAAGTCATTGTTGCTGTGAATCTAGCAAGAGTTTGCAAGGCTTGAAATTAAGCTAGTTGGTATCAAGCTTCTTGGTCACTATATTAGTATACTTATACTATACTGTTATATCACCATGAGTTTAATACTTTGTACGTCCCTCCAAAATCTTAGAAATGGCTCAGACCAATTGTAAAATTAGAAAAAGTTCTCATATACAATGCTTGATAACATAGTGTATGCCTACTATATTTTAACTTATTAAAGTCTCTTAAGAGTGGTACCAAAACACATGGGATCAAATCCAACAGCACTAACAATTAGAAATAACTAATTTGAAATGATATGTATTAATGTATATTCATCGTTTATAACACGCTTGTCGTCCAAACACAATAATATGAATTATTGTGCATCAAAATAGATTATATACGAAATATTAATGTGATGTAACACTTAACTTGTACATATGTTAATTATCATCACGACAATCATTTTTGCAACAATAAGCTGGCTTTTCCACGGTATTGGAGCAAATGATTGACTCATAAATCATAACCCCTTCTCCCGTGCCCTCATTTAACTCATCCTAATTCTAGCAATTGAGAATGATAGTGAAGGATATGTGGTGAGAATAGAGAAGCAAAAAAAAAAAAAAAAAAAAAACTCAAATCAGCTCAAAATTTTCAATATTCAATAGCAAATAAATATCTTACTTTGTTGTAGGAATTTGAATTTTCTTGTTTCCAAAATATCAATTAAGGTTCCGTTTGTTTTGGTGGAAAACATCAAAAATTATTTTCCTTCATCTTTCCATTTTCCTTTGTTTGTTTTGATAAGAGATGGAAAACAATTTTTCTAAAGGTGGAAATTTGCTATTTAGAAAAGGAAAACTGTTTTCCTTTGTAAAAGAAGGTATGCCACATTTTCCTCTTCACTCGTTACTTCTCCTTATACTCTCCTCCCATCCTTCCTTTCCTTTCACTTCATTTTTCCTTTTCTCCTTAAGTTTTCCTCTAATCAAACAAACAAAGGAAAACTTTCTTTAAAATCATGTTTTTCACTGAAAATTGTTTTCCTTGAAAAGTGATTTTTCCATGATAATTATTTTCCTTCAAAACAAACGGAGCCTAAATTTACATTTGTGTTACATCTTCAATGCTACGATGACATAAGACTTAAGAGTACAAGATTCCTTCAACCTAGGACTCCAACGAATAAAAAGGCTCATATTAAAGTCCTAGTTAAGACTTAAAAGTACTAAATTCCTTCAAAGAAAGGGAACATATATTGTACACGTATTTCCTTAGTATTTACTGTATTAGTTACGAGTTGCTTTATTAGTACGTTTATCGTTCCAAGAGTTAAAGTCTTACAGTGTGGCAATTCTAACAAAGACTTCAACAGTCAACCGATTTAGTTTTTTCTTAGATACGAAGTACTTTTCTACATATGTTAATCAAGTTTTTCTACAGTATTTTAATTTTACTAAGACTTCAACATACTCTCTCCCATGGATGCTTGAGGATTGTAAGAATGTAATTCATGCACGTAACTTGTTTTCATCAATCTTTGTAGCTTTCTACATACGCTGAAGAAAACAATGTTCCCGTCGTTTTTAAATATGTGTATCACTTTGACTAATAACACTCATGTCAATGTAAACATTTCTTTTATTGTACGTTTTAGTAAAAATAATTACGTAGATTGATGCTACTAAAATATTCATTGTCAACATGCTCAACTCCAACTATATACAACTTAACAGCAAAGCACAAAATATGACTCCTAGTTTCAATTGTATTAGGACTTTATGTGCTTGGTAATTGGTAATCTGAACATTTCTCTGTTTTATTCCCCTGTTTTAATGTTCCTGTATGCTTTTGATTGCCAGTCTTTCGATAATTTTGTATTTTAATTCAACTCATTAAAGAGTTCTACATGTGTAATGTAATATGAAATTACGGAGTAATAGATAGCCCATTAATCACTTCTGAACTAAAAATAGTATGTCGTATCCCAAATTTTTTTCCAAGGGCCTTGGGCAATTGTCATCACTTATCAGCACAGTTACACTGAGTAAGATGGTGTATGTGAGTGCGCGTGTGCGTGTGCCTATTACAATTGTTCATGCTCCATTTATATGCAATCAAGCTCCCCACTCCACCATTGCGATGAATGATGAAGATCAATGACTTCTGCATGAATTTTCCGTTAAACTGCAACGTATTGTTAGGAATCATAATCTTGTAACTTAGTGTAATAGCGTATAGTACACTCCATACACATACATGTAATGCGTTTTAGGTGACGCAAGTACAATGTAACACTAGGATCAGGTATACAAACAGCATCTTGGTTAATTTTCAATTCAAGATTCGGACAATCCTTAATTACATATTTACGTCAAAAGCAATGGAATTCCTTTCACATTAGTTAGTGGAGTAAAGAAGATATTGGAGAATTGGTCAACTGGTCACGTTTCATGAATACTATAGGAGAGTGAATAGTCTGTCCAAATCAAGTTTAACATAGATCATAGCTAGCTAATCGTTACGTTATTGAAGCATATGTGAGAGGAATTTAATGTGTCCTAGATATAACTCACTCATTTTCTAATTTTTCCAACTTCAAATAAAGACCATTACACCTGTTCTAGATGTGCTTAAGGTTTTGATTTTTTCAAATTTTAGACCCAAACATGTTATTAGTCTGTTTTAGCCAAACTATATATAAGTCATCATCGAGTATTCAAGTCTCTTGCTTGACTTTGGTGCTCTACAACTAAACAGATCGACATATATAAGATCAAACATTATAGATATTGTTCCTCAAACAGAAAACTTTATTGAATTTCATCCACATAATCAAGCCGAATGAAACTAGCTAAAATCAACATGACCATCCATCCTCCCATCAAAACATCTCACTATCACCTTTGCTTTCTGTTAATTTTGTGGCTTTTCCTAGCCATTTTGAGTCATGCCACCCAATACAACATCAAGTGCATCCGTGAGGAAAGAGAAGCCTTACTTCAGTTCAAACGAGGAATTCAAGAGGACCATTGTGGAATACTTTCTTCATGGGAAGGGCATGAAGACGATGTAGGTTGTTGCCAATGGCGCGGCATTCTTTGCAACAACCTCACAGGGCATGTCATGGCCATCAATCTTGGTGGTGTCGAAGCTGGTAATGACCATCATTGTCTAGAAGGTAGAGTGACTACTTTCCTCCCTAGGTTGAAGCATTTGAAATATTTGGATCTTAGCTTCAACAACTTCTTAGGCCAACCTATCCCTAAATTTATCAGTTCCCTTGCCAATTTAGAGCACCTTAATCTCTCAAATTCCGGCTTTACAGGGAAAATTCCTCATGAATTTGGTAATCTTTCCCACTTAACATCTCTTGATCTTAGTGATAATACAGTTGTTGTCAAAAGCTTGGGTTGGCTCTCCCGTCTTACTTCATTGAGTGTCGTAAACTTAAGTGACATCGATCTTAGTGAAGTACAAGACTGGTTACAAATAATTACCAACCTCCCTTTCTTAAAGGTCTTAAAGATGGATAGTTGTTATCTTCCTTCAACAATTCCATCTTCACTTACATTTAAAAATTCATCATCCACCCTTCGTTTCCTTAGTCTTGCTCATAATAGTTTTGGTGATCCTTCGATATTTCAATGGTTGTTTAACTTGAGTGGAGTTAGTACTCACCTAGTCCATCTTGACCTCTGTGATAACTCACTTCCAGGTTCCATCCCAAATGGTTTTCAAAAATTGCATTCGCTTTCATATATCGACCTCTCTTCTAATGCATTTGAAAGCCATATTCCAAATTACTTTGGAAATATGCATTCCCTTTCACATCTTGATCTCTCTGCTAATAACTTGAGCGGTTCCATTTCAAGTTGTTTTAAAAATATGCATTCCCTATCATACCTCGATGTCTCTGGTAATTCACTTGGAGGTCAAATTCCTGAAATGATTTCGAGCCTAAAATATCTCATTCATCTCGATTTGTCTTGGAATAACTTTCATGGACGCGTTCCAAAAACCATTGGTAAGTTGTGTAGCTTACAATTCTTGGAGTTAAGCTACAACAATCTCACAGGAGATCTTACCGATGTCATCCAAATCTTATCTGTGTGTTCTTACAAGTCACTGAGGTTTTTTAGTTTGGAAAACAACCATTTTGGGGGGTCAATTCCTAACAATATCGAAACGTTCTCTTTGTCGAGGCAACTTTATCTCGATGGCAACCAGCTGAACGGAACAATTAGTCAAGGGATTGCAAAACTTTCTATGCTTGAGACCTTGCGCCTTTCTACAAACTCTTTGATAGGTACTATCTTTGACAGCCATTTTGCAAATTTATCGAGTTTACGCAATTTGTACTTGTCAGAAAATCCTAGATTGTTGGTTAATATTAGTGTTGATTGGCTTCCCCCATTTCAGCTAGACACCATATATTTAAGCTCTTGCAAGGTAGGCCCTCATTTCCCAAAATGGTTACAAACCCAAACCCAAATCTCATGGATTGACATATCAATAGCCGAAATTTCAGACATTGTTCCTGCTTCATTTTGGAGCTCGTTATCATCCAAATTGGAGTATCTGAATATGTCTCACAATAACATTCATGGGATACTACCTAATAATTTGTCGATCACCCTTAGCGAACTCCCTCAGATAGACTTGAGCTCAAATTCCTTAGAGGGTGCAATCCCTTCATTTCTTGGAAATATTTCCTCATTATCCTTAAATGATAACAAGTTTTCTGATGCATCTTCTTTTTTGTGTCCAAAAAATAAGATGGTCCTTTCTAATCTTGACCTCTCAAATAACTTGTTATCGGGTGAGCTTCCTGATTGTTGGATGTACTTCGATAAGCTATCAATCCTGAGTTTAGAAAACAATAACTTAACTGGAAAGTTATCAGCATCTATTGGTGCCCTGAAAAAGCTCCAAGCATTGCACTTGCGACACAACAACTTTTCGGGTGAACTACCCATCTCCTTACACAATTGCACATCTTTGGTTCTCCTAGATGTTGCATATAACGCGTTTACTGGCTATCTACCTCAAAGGATTGGGAACAATCTAAAAAATCTCGGTATTCTCAGCCTTCGAAGTAATAGTTTTTCAGGGGTTCTGCCTTCAAGTCTTTGTCAACTTTCACATCTACAAATCTTGGATCTTTCACATAACAACTTCTCAGGAAAGATCCCAAGATGCATATACAATTTAACGGCCATGACAAGCACAGCAGATTTGTTGCCTGATATATTATATCAGTACGATTTTTCTGTACTAGTCACGTACTTTGATTCAGCATTTGTCATGTGGAAAGGAAAGGACCAAATCTTCAGAAATTCTCTAGGACAAGTTAAGTTCATTCATATGTCGAACAATGTGCTTGAAGGCGATATTCCTGAAGGCATTTCTAGTCTCATCGGTCTTATTTCATTGGACTTGTCCGGCAATAAGTTGAATGGAAGTATTACTCCCAAGATAGGACTGCTGACAGCACTAGAATTGCTTGATTTGTCCAGCAACAATCTTTCTGGCGCGATCCCAGCAACTTTTACTAATCTTAATTTTCTAGGAATGCTGAACTTGTCATACAACCACTTGTCCGGAAGAGTTCCAACAGGCACTCTACTGCAAGGCTTTGATGCCTCAGCATACATGGGAAACCCCGAGCTTTGTGGAGCTCCACTAGCGATATGCCCTGGAGATGAACCACCTAACAATAATACATGGAACGGAAATGATGATGTCGCTCAACAAGATGTGAATGATGATCTCTTTCCAGGATTGTATATAAGTGTGGTACTTGGTTTATTATAGGCTTTTGGGGAGTTTGCGGAACTCTAGTGATCAAAAGATCTTGGAGACATGCCTTTTTCCGAACCTTAGATTACATGAGAGACCGAGTCTATGTAATGATACATCGCCGTTAACTAGCCAAGGTAAGTAAGGCCTTTACTGTCAAGTATAAACTTTCATTGCACAAAGTATTGATGACTAAGTATATGTAATGATACTTGTTTATAACTAAACTTATGACAAAGATCTAATCTCCTCTGTGAAGCAATCATGCAACTAGCTATAAGCATATAACGCTATTTGTTAATTCGCAAAATGCATCTAAGTTTTTGGGTGATTTATGCAGGAATTTGCAGAAGTGTACTGTTCGAGAGTCAAGGAGAAGCTGATACAAATAGTACCTTTATAAAAATCAGCTGTTGTATAAATTACTTTTCCTTTTTCACATTGTGCAAAGTCTTTAATAAAATCATTGAAGGTGTTATCCTCTAATGTAATATGGACCATTAATCCTTTTAACTTGTTGCAATAATACTTTGGAATGAAGAGTAATGCAGTATGATTAATGATTATTATAGTAATTTGGTAGTTGGAAAATCTAGTTTGATTTGATCTAAATTTTTTTTGGGTCAATTTGATTGATGGTCTGTTTAATTTGACTAAATTTTGACATTAGTTGAAGGTGTGATGCACTCCATATTTTACAAAGTTCCAATTTATTTAAATTAGAAAAAAATAATCAAGTGTGTTCTTATTATTCAAAAAAATAAAAAGTGTGCTTTTTTAGATTCATCTTATTGTATATTCCGTATTTTGTAAATTTGACTAATTCTTTGGTAAGTCTTAAACTCGAGTTCTATTACACAAATGGCTGGAAAGTGGATCTCAAATGATATTGCCATAGCTTCTCACCTGATGTATCCATATTGGCTTGCACATTATACATTTTTCCTGTAAACAATGTATTATGGACACCCACGAAGTTTTGTAGTGTCAAAAAATGATTTTCCTTGATTGTATTACTGTATGAGCAAGAATATATATACAAGTATACAAGCTAAAAAGAGATTAGGGCTTATAACATTGGCCCATTAGCTATACACAAATATAAGGCTTAACACCCCCCCTCAAGTTGGAGCATGCAAATCACAAGTGCCCAACTTGCCAAGTAAATACAAAAATTGGTTTTTGCTTAATGTCTTAGTGAAGATATCCGCTAGTTGATCCGTTGTCTTCACATACGACGGACTAATACCCCTTCCTTAATTGCGTCCCTAACATAATGACAGTCAACCTCAATATACTTAGTGCGTTCGTGGAAGACCGGATTCTGCGCAATATATAACGCGGATTGACTATCACAAAACAAGCTCATCGCACGCGGATACGAAACTCCCAAACTGTTGAGTAGAGCCTTCAACAATTTTAACTCATCAGTTATCTTAGACATCGAACGATACTCTGCCTCTACAGAAGACTTAGAGACAGTATGTTGGTTCTTATTCTTCCAAGAAATAGAGGAACCACCAAGAAACACCAACCAACTAGAAATCGATCATCTCGTCAAAGGGCAACTAGCCCAATCCGAGTCACACCAACCTATCAAATATAAATTGCAATCTGAACTCAAAAGGATTCCTTGACCCGGACATTCTTTCAAGTAGCAAATCGTACGAAGTGTTGCCTCCCAATGGTCTTGTCGAGGTTGTTGCATAAATTAAGACAAGATATGAACTGTATAAGCCAAATCGGGTCTAATAAAAGACAAATAAATCAAACAACCCACAAGACGGCGATACATTTCGGGGTCTGCAATAAGAGGAGTCTCTGATTTAGCCAGAGTATGATTTTTCTCAATAAGAGTACCTGCCGGACATGCCCCTAGAAAACCAGACTCTGCAATAATATCAAGAGTATATTTCCATTTACATAAGGATATGCCCTTCGGACTACGCGCAACCTCAATACCAAGAAAATACTTCAACACACCCAAATCTTTCATATGAAAACAGTTACTCAGATATGATTTGAATGTTGAAACTGCAGAAGAATCATTACCCGCAATTTTTAAATCATCAACATACACCTAAACACTAAGATGAATAGTACCATTATTCAGAGTAAATAGAGTGTAGTCAGGGTACGATTGCAAAAATTTGTACCTTTGCAGAGAGACGGCCAATTTGGAAAACCAACAACGAGGTTCTTGTCGTATACCATACAAAGACTTTTTCAAGCAATACACCAAGCCGAATCGAGAGGTATGGAAACCAAGAGGTGGCTTCATATAAACTTCTTCATCAAGGTCACCATGAAGAAATGCATTATGAACATCCATTTGGTGCAATTCCCAATTTTTTGCAGCAGCAACAGCTAAGAAAGCACGAACGGTAACCATTTTAGCTACGGGAGCAAATGTTTCATTATAATCAATACCCTCAACCTAATGGTTGCCAAATATAACAAGACGAGCTTTTAATCGTTTGACTGTGCCATCAAAATTATGCTTCACCTTATAAACCCATCTGCTCCCGAGAGCCTTCTTCCCTGGAGGTAATTCTTACATTACCCAAGTCTCATTATTTTCCAAGGCAAAGATTTCTTTTTGCATAGCCTCTTTCCACCCCTCATGTTTCATAGCCTCCTTGAAATTACGAGGCTCAACCGCCGTATCTATAGCTGCAATAAAGACACGGTGTCGCATAGAAAGTTTTTCACAATTCACAAAGTGTGCTAAAGGATAAGGAGTACCTGAGGAGCTTGGAGAAGACGGTGAACTAGGAGAGACAAATGGACTCGAGAGAGATATAGTATGTGCAACATAATCACGATGCCACCCCGGAGGTTGCCGCAGCCTGTGACCACGACCCATGGCAATTGTGGAAGAAGAAGAGGGACTCGAAGAAGCTTGAGGGCTGCTGGCAGTAGGCACCACGGGCTGGCCGTGGCAGGCAGAAGTTGCCACGGGCTGGCCGTGGTCCAACCTGCCAGCAGCGTCAGTAGTAGCATCAAGAGAAACAGAGCAACAGGCGTAGCAGTAGCAGACGGAGCAGCAGCAGCATCAAAGGATGCGGCAGCAGAGCTGCTTGGGTCGTGGACGATATCGAGGTCAAGGGAACCCTCCCCGACCTCCAGCACATGCTCAAGGTCGTCCAAAAATTCATGGTCAACACCAACATTGTCGTTAGACATACCATTCATACCCACATTAGTATCACCAACCCCAACATTATCCGCAAACGGGAACTCATGCTCATAAAACTTAACATCTCGTGAAACAAAAAAGTCACCCGATTCCAAGTCATATGCCTTCCGATCCTTTTTACCGTGAGGGTAACCCAAAAATACACATTTCCTACTCCGAGGAGCAAATTTGTCACCCTTAGCCTTTTGATTATGAGCAAAACAAAGACATCTAAATACCCGCATCACATCAAAATCAGGTTCCTTACCAAAAAGTATTTCATAAGGAGTTTTATTTGCTAGTAAACAAGACGGAGTACGATTGATTAAATAGACTGCCCCTAGAACACACTCACCCTAAAAACTAATAGGCAAATTGCCTTGAAATATCAATGCACGACTCACATTTAGTATATGCTGGTGTTTACGCTCTACCCGGCCATTTTGTTGAGGTGTACAAACACAAGAGGTTTGAAAAAGAATGCCATTGTCATTAAAATACGGAAGCATACATTTGAATAATGTACCATTTTCACTCCGGACACATTTCACATTCACATCGATCAAATTGAGTCTTAATCATAGCAAAGAAGGAACAAAAGGAAGAATAAACTTTGGTTTTGTCATTCAATAAATACACCCAAACACCCCTTGAATAATCATCAACAATAGTCAGAAAATAATGAGCACCATGGGTAGAAGGAGTTTTATACGACCCTTACAAATCACAATGTATCATTTCAACAATACAACTAGCATGACTATCACTATCAGGAAAATTTTCTCGGGTTTGTTTAGCTAGAAGACAAATTTCACATGCTCTATGTAAACACCTAGTACTAGTACTGCCTCGAATAGCAGGAAGCAATGTGACAATTCTCTCCGATGGATGCCCCAAACGACGATGTCACAACTCAAATGTAGATATCTCCGGACCCGTGATCGCACATACTTTTGGGATACGCCGGAAATAATATAGTCCATCTATTCGTTCACCGCCTCCAATCAAACTCCCCGAGAGTTGATCCTGTATAGCACAAAGAAACACTACTAGAAATAGGCCAATTTTCGACGGACATGCTTTTCCGTTGTAAATTCCGACGGATTTTTATTACTTCGAAAATTTACGACGGATTTCCTACGGAATACAAATCCGTTGGAATTTATGGGCTTTCCGACGGAATATTCCGTCAGAAACTTAATGTTTCGACGGAAATAAAATCCGTCGGAAATATCCGACAGAATATTCCGTCGAAACATTTATTTTCCGGCGGAAATAAAATTCGTCGGAAATTTCTGACGGAATATTCCGTGGAATATAATTAAATAATAAAAAATAAAAACAAACCTAATAAACCCCGTTTTCCCCTCCCCCTATCATTTCTATTTTCTCTCTCCTCTCCTCTCCGTCTCTCTTCTCTTTCTCTCTCCTCTCTCTCGCTCCTCTCTTCTTTCCTCTTCTCTTCTCTTCTGATCTCTATTCTCCTCCATTTCGCCTTCTCCTTCCATCTCTTTCTCCTTCCTCAACGCCAACACAACAACCACAACAACCACACCAACCACACCACCGCGCAGCGACAACAACAACAACCACCTCAACGACAACAACAACACCAGCAGGCAGCCACAACGACAACAACACCAGCAGGCAGCCGCAATGACAACAACCACAACTGTAGATCTAGGTTTTTTTTTAAAAAAAAAAACAAATTCTAATTATAATTTATTTTTTGATATAATTGTAATGTTATTTTATTAATTTCGTAAGATAATTGTATATTTATTTATTTATTTTGTTTGATTTCAATTTTTTTGTTTATTTTTTTCGATTTTTGGATGTTTCGATTTTTGATTTTTGTCTTAATTTTATTTTGGGGTTGGGGTTTCGTTGGTAGTGGGTTTGTGGGTTGGTAGTGGGTTCCGATTTGGTTGTTTCTAGGTGGGTGGGTTCAGTCGTTGGTTAGGGTGGGTGGGGTAGGGTTGGTTAGGGTGGGTGGTTGGTTAGAGTGGGTGGGGTAGGTTTGTTCTGGGTTGAGGTGGTGGGGGGTCTGGTCTGGGTTTGGTTGGAGTGGTAGGGGGGTCTGGTCTGGGTTGGGTTGGGGTGGTGGGGGGGTCTGGTCTGGGTTGGGTTGGGGTGGTGGGGGGTGTGGTCTTGGTTAGGAGGGTGGGGGATCTGGTTTGTTGTTTAGGGTGAGGGTGGTGGTGGTTGATGTTACGAGGTGGTGA